GGGGGGGGGAGTTTTGTGATGTTCCCGGTGTAGAAAGGCCTTTGTTTTTAGTGCTATTTTTATGTATTTTGTTTATTTTATACAAATGCAAGAACTTATATTGGCGAGAGGTTATGTTTAGGTGTACGTGTGTGGGTGGGCATATGGGTGTGTGTTTGTGGGCGTATGGATGCGTGTTTGCGCGCGTGTGTGTATGTGTTAGTGTGCATGTGTATTGGGATTTATGTGGGTATGTGTGGATATGTGTGTATCTTTTTTGTCACTCACTTTCAGCTCAGCAACCAGAGAAACCAGGAATCTGTGGAACATATGCCCACCCCGGTGCGACCCTGTTCTTTTAATATAACCATACGCGTATGCTTGGAACTCGTGTACAAGCCCTAGGATGAATTCATTGAAATTTATTGGCGGGTAAGCGATTTCGGGAACCAGATAGAACAGAAGGCTAAAGTTTCACAGAGATGTTCTAATTTTTAGTATGAGGTAAGAAATTTCAAATTCAGCTTTAACGCACACCTACGCCACATGTACAGAAACGGCAAAGTTGAGTTCTCGTCATCGCTGGCAAAATGCCAATACACGCGATCTCGCTACAGGCTGGAGTCATGTAGAAACGCATCACGTCGGCAAGTTTGATGTCTCGTTTCCTGCATTTATTAATAATTTAATAAATGTGTTTTTGCATGTTAGATTTTGGAACGTTTCGCGGTGGCTTCCGCGGTGGACGAGGGGGATATTATCGCGGATTCGATCGTGATGGTGAACGGCCCGCATTTCGTGGTGGACGCGGTGGTCGTGGTGGACGCCAGTTCGACCGGATGAGTGGATCGGACAGACAGGGACCCAGATCACTGGAAAAGAAAGATGGATTTGGTAAAGGCAACTGGGGAACCGAACAGGATGAACTGAACGCACAGACTGAACAACCCAACAACACTGCCGATAGTATGCTAATTTCTGCCTTGGGCTTTTCAATTTTCGAATATCTGGAAGTTTTTTTAGTGGACCAGGTTTCCAGTGTTATGTAGGGCAAGTGTAAGACATGCCTAGTGAGGTTCTGATCTTGGCGTGGTCTAGAGGAGCTTGTAAGTTAAAGTATTATAGGAAGTACTTTATATTATTTGGAAGGAGATTTAATTACAAAATTGGGAAAAAGAGGAAAGCGAGACATTTCACACAGTCAGAAGTTCGCATAGCTTGCACGTTAAGAAGTATTGGATGACTCATTTGGGCCAAAAAGT